TACCGCAGGCAGATAATTTTATAGTGCTCCTTTGTTTTGTTTTCAAATAGTTAAAGCTCTTCTGCAGTAAGAACAGTCTGTGCACATACTGCTGTTTTTCACCACGGTTCCAAGGGTTAGTATAGTGATAAAGCATCACTGGAGAAAATGAGTTCTACTCTTTTCCTTCCATGCCCTCTCTCTCACATCTGGACAGGGTCACATTTGAACCATTCACACTGTGGGTTTTATTGTGATGTGCCATGCAGATATCGCAGCTGTACCGACAGATAGTGGTAATTTATTTCCTAAAGACTTAAGAAACTCTGAACGAAATCAGAGCTAAGCGAATTCGATATATAGCAACAGCTAGCCTCCTCTGTAAAACCACAGTATTGATTATAGAGTGTTCAGCTGAGACAATTTGTGAGAGAGAGTTCTTAGCCTTAACTCAGTGTTTTATCTCCTGCTTAAGCTCAAAATCCTGAATAGCTGCAGCTCCTAGTAGGCTGAGTGTTAATGATCCTCTTTAGAGTCCATTTATCACTCAGGTTATGCCTTGTAGTATGTTGTAAATACACTACTTACAGAAGTTTGGCTCCCATTGAAGGCACTGCCAACCTCTGAATTGCTAGAAGAATAAAATGGCACAGTAGGTTTGTGACTAGAAGGTTCTTATTCTGTGGTGGTGTGCTCTGCCAGCGTTCAGGCTTGCAGCTCAGCTGCATCCTTCTGTGCTGATTTCACCAGTCACCGTTTCAGCAGAAATGCTGCTTGTAACATCTCTTGGGTACTGCTGCACTGCAGAACTTGCTTTCATTTCCAGACCTGCACTGTTTTTCTTCTGCAGCATCTGCTGATTAATGCTTTTCTATAGTCATAGCTGCTGTTCCCAATATCTGACCTTCGTGGGTTTTGCAAAGTTGTTGTTAACCCCTTCAGGCTAAAGTTTAAAAAATTAGGAAAATGAAAAAATTGTGAGGTAACAAAAATATCCTCAGTATTCTACAGTTCTTAAATGCCCTGAAACTTTTGACTCACAGTCATTTCACAGCTGAATACTGGAGTGCTTTGAATATAATTCTGCACCCACCTACTCTACTCTCATAAATATTGTCTTATTTCTTCCAAGGCTGGAAGATGAGGCAGAAACCCATTTGTACAATTAATTTTCATACAGATTTTAAATTTTCAGGTAGGGAGATGGAAAAAATACAGCCATATATTAGGCTGGATTGTCCCCTTGCATTATAAATCAGTTCTTGGTGGTGTTTAAATTAACAGTCAACCCCTCTTTTATTTCCTTTCTTTCTTTTAAAGATTTTACTCTTAAATTCAGACTTGCCACTCCCTCTTGAGCATCATAAATCCCCTACATTACGAGTTTGTCAGATTGTGATCCTTGAGATACCACCTGAATCAGGTAACATGGTACTGTCAGGTCTCCCCCAAAACTCTGTGGCAAAAGTTCCCTCTGAACATCTCCCTGTTTGGGCCTCTGCATTTCCTACCGTCACAGAAGCCCTTCAGCAGTACTCTGGTCTTTGTAGTAGTAGTTGGTTTTCATTTCCAACGTCTTATATTTGTTTCATTTGTACACAATGAAACAGACTTAAAGCAGGTCTTGTTTGCATTTTTTTCCCCTTAGCATAGCCATGGAGTGTTGGCCTAACCTGCCAGGTTTGGTTATTACAGATTCTGTATAAGAGAGTAAATAATATCCTCCCAGTATCCTGTAGTGCAGGTAAGGCATTGCCTGGTTTAGCTAGCTTCAGTTTTCATTTGTGGTTTCCTCCCTCCTCCTCTGAGCTTTCAGGGAACACGACATCCATGTATAAACTCTCACTGGGTATTTTTCTTTAGCCCAGAGGTTATTCATGGTCCTGTTTTTAAACCAACCAGGTGTGGCTTTGAGGAGCAGTTGAGATCCCTGGCCACAAGTTTCACTCCTGTGGTATCTGGGTAGGGAGTACTCCAGGCTGAATCACCCTGAGGAGAGGGCAGTGACATCAAGGCTGGTGTTGGTTGGGCTAGGGCTACCTCAAGAACACACAGGGAATGTGTTGGGGCAGGAAGTGGAGCCTGACAGTCTAGCATGCTGTCATCCTCCACCTGTGGAGGTGGTACTCAAGTTGCTATCAAGACTTCTCATGTCCCCAGGTGATTGTTTTGGAATAAATGGATGAAGCAATAAGTGCTTGCTAAAATGTCAGCACCAGCCTCTGCTAGTGTGGTACCTGCTTTGATTCGAAGGAGAATTAACTCCAAGGTGAGGTTAAAGATCCACAAACTAACTTTAAATTGAAGCATATCCTCCGAACATTGAGGGGCCATCTGGTCTAGTGCAAAGCTGCCCCACTAGGATCTAGGACCAGGTGCTAACACACAAAGCAGCTTCATCTGATTCCCAAGCGCTGGCTGTTTGCTGAGCCAGCTCCTGTAGTTGTGTCTTGTTGGAGGGCATTAACCTAGCTGTGGTCTGTCAGGGATAGTTCAGGTGCACACAATGGGCCTGGCCTGAAATAAAAGTGATTCTCTAAGTGTCAAGCAGAAGGATTCCTGCATTGTAATCCATGCTGTGGAGCGCTGGCCAAAGCTACTGGCCTTTACACAGTTTGTAGGAGATAGTTTGGGATGAAAGGATCCTTAAAGGAAGTTGTTATGTTTTCTTCCCCAATTTGGAGCTAACTGATTTTTTAATTTCCTTGTTACATGCTTTTGCCAGCCCGTAATACTGAGCAGGAATAAATTCCTTTTGAAGGATGCACCTACAAATGTAGAGGTTAAGGTCACATTTGCAGAAAATCACATCAAGCTCTTACTAATGAGCTGGCAAGTGATTTGGGGAAAATCTTCTCTTCTGAATCAAGAAACATCCTTTAATTTTTTCCAACAGCTGAATCCTCTAATTTCACTTGTTGGGGAAGCTACATCAAATCGCCCACGAGTACACTCACTTAAAGGACGTTCTGTCCCCTTTTACAGAGGCAATATTTTTAGTGTCCTACTAGCACAGAGTAAATGCCACAGTGATGCTGCTCAGTGACTCTCCTGCCTCGCCCCTACATAATGATAATGCCTGTGTGATTTTTTTACTTCCATGAGGTCTTTGTAATGTAATATTCCAATTATGACAATGCACTGAAGTCCCAAAACCCAGAGCTGTGTTCTTTTACCAGGGATAAAAATGCAGTGTTGTATTCTTTACATCACAGAATAATTTCTAAAATTACAGACTCTTTTCCCTGGAACTTAATGGTGCTGCACTACATATGTTATTTTTGCATCTTCTAAATAATATCACAATGATGAAAGAAAAAACCTGTCGGAGCACTTGTGGCACGTACTATAACCTACAGAAGTGAGAGCACATATCGTGGACGTGTTTTCTGTATCATAAGCATGCACTGGAGTTCTTGTCAGTTGGCTAGCACTGCCAGATTTTCCATACTTGAAACGTAATGCAGCTATTAGCTAAATAGAACTGGTAAAGTTGTTAGTCCTTGCTCAGACAAACTAGAAACAAAATTGTTTGTTGGAGTTGCACAGGAATGTACCAGGAACTCTTGAAGGAGGAGCAACTTTCAAGGCACTGACCTCTTGTAAAGATGCAAGGGTGTGTCCCTTGATTAAGTACTATGTGGATGCAAATCTTGTATTTCCCCCTTCCCTTGAGCTGTCCTCTCTAATCATTCCAGTCTGAATTGTACTTCAGTTTTCATATCCTCTCAACCCTATTGCTGGTTACAATGACTGTCAGGACTGTGTGGGCTTGTTCCAGCCTACGCATTCAGGAGATTTAACCTCCCCATTAAGTGTCTGAAACGAACTCAGTCCCTGTAAAATTGAAGGTAGAAAAAAATGTTAGTCTTTCATACAGTCTCATTATTCTCTTCTCCTCAACTGTAGCACTTGTCAGATGCATTATACATGAATAAACACATTTTTAGACAGCTCTTCAGATCAAAAAGCTCACACAGCTTCCCAATGTGAACAGGATTAATCTCCGATAATTGCTATATCAATTTATGATGACACACAGATCTCATTAACCAAATTTAGGTACGGTAGCTTTCCTAAAAGGAGAGCTCTGAAAGAAAACAAACTCAGTTTGTACTAAAAAGTTTCTGTTCAGTTGTCATTAACCAAATTTAGGTACAGTAGCTTTCCTAAAAGGAGAGCTCTGAAAGAAAACAAACTCAGTTTGTACTAAAAAGTTTCTGTTCAGTTGTTTTCACTGCTCCCTAGTACACCCCTTTGTGATCCACAGACAGAGCAGTGTGCCCCAGCAAGTGGAGAGGGAGGGAGTGTACATATCTTCTCTTCATTCACTAAGGAATCTTTGGCATGGCAAGACAAAGCAATGCATATTCAAGTCCTTTAAGCCCTAAATGCCTCTTGATGTCTAAAGGACAAGAGGGCTCTTAAAGAATCTGAGAATTCTGAATGCCAAAATCTAGATTTATATGTTTGGTGATTGTGATAGAAAGGGTGTTGCCTAGCTGATAATCTTTCAGGGGTACAGAGGGCAGCCCACAGCGTAAAGAATTCAGAAGCATCTGGTCTGTTGAAGATGAAGCCAGTCTCAGCTCCTAGAACAGATGGGTATGTCCTTCTGAGTGTTGCTTTTCTGCTGCTCAGAGTCCCCATTTTTGCTGGTCTAAACACACTACGGCAATTGAAGCTTCCCAGATCTTACTATTTTAGACAACCTCTTGCAGTCTGGAACTGTAATTTCGTTTTTTCTGTCCAACCTTCTGCTAATTGTAGCTTTCCAGTCTTCTTTTAGTATCAGTTTAACAAGTCTAGTCTGCAAGTCAGAGCTGGCCTGCACAACGGTGCTTACAGGAAAAAGCAGAGGAGACCCCTCTCCCACTTAAGCATAAAGACAGATGCTTGGTGGTTTTGCTTCTAAGCTATTTGTAGATATATTTGTTTGGGAGGGATGTATAATAATAACCATAGCAATAGGTAAAAGCGAAAAAATGGCAGAACTACTAAAATCCACTGGATGCTCTCAGTTATATGGAATACAGGCTGTTATGCTGCTTTCTCACTCTTCATACCTGAGAAGCTTCCAGCAGTGCAGTAGGTAAAGTAACGTTATTTTTTGCGCTTCCCCTCTGGATATCAGCTATTGCAAGCAAGAGCTTTCTTCCCTACCAAGCACCATGAAAGCCCATTTTCTGTAACCCTACTTCCCCAAGCAGTCCACTTTGCAAGGAGGCAGTCTGATAAATCATCTCCAAGTTTGGTGTTGACATGCTGTGCTCATATGACCATCCCAAGGCAAAATGAAGGGTGCTCTGCCTTTAATTGAAGGCTTGACAAGAACTGTAGGCGGCTCTGCAGCTTGTATGGCAACAGCTGTGTGCAAGCTTCTTAGTTTTTAACTGTAAAGCTAGAGCATGTGAGTTTGAAAGCCTAAACATATCTTGAAACCCTTGTAGTCAGAATAAATAAGAACAGACTTACTGTAAATGTCAATATATTTCCCTTTTTTATTGCAATATAAAACACCAAAACCAAAAAGCCTGAATGAAATAATGGTAAGTCTCTGGTTTCTCTGCAAAGTCTTGCTTTGCAGACAAAGAGTTATTGTGAACTGACATTTAGCTAAGTTAGATTTTTCCCTACACAATAAGAATATAACATCTTTCTTTATAACATATGTGCATCATAGTAGCTTTCTAATTATGTAACAGAAATTTCTTCCTGAGCTTTTCTCTTTTACATCTACAAACATGGTAGAAGTGTTTATTGCTTTGGCCAGAAAAGATGAGCTGTCTGATTCAGAATCATTTTAGTAGCCCTGGCCATGCTGATGAACATATAAATCTAATTTAATGGGAGCTAGTGAACTGGGTGTGCAATTAAATCGTCATCAACAGAGTTGGTTAATAATGACACACACCAGCATTAAATTTGCAGGTGATTATTAGATTTTTTTTTAATTATCACCCCAGGGAATTACTTGTCCAGGGTACTTTGTTCTGAAGATGCATGATAAGAACCCCTGGCTGTGGAGACTTTATTTCAGGACTAAAATTAAATCCTACTTAGTGTATGGTGGATTAATGGTCATGGAGAGTGTTCTTCCCCAGTCAGTAACCAGCACATCATTGCTGCACGGGAACTAGAGTGCTACAGTGATGCTTTCAGACCTGATGCTTTCTTTTTTTAGAGATGCGGCTTTAGAAACGAAAAAGGGAAAAAAAAAGAGGAGTTTGAGATGAAGCAGGCTTCACGTAGTCCCAGCATAGCCTCTATTTTTAGCAGGATGCTTTGCTCTCAGTTGCATGGGTTCTTTAACTACTTAGACAACTGGTGTTGGAAGGTTTGGCTGGATGAGCCTGGGAGAGGGCTGGAAAGGAATGCAAATCAGGTCAGCAATTATTTTCATCTAATTGTAATAAGTAAAACAATAGCTGAAGCTGCATTGCCCAGTGTTCTTTCCCCCAGCATAAAAGCCTTTCAGGAAGGGCCGTTGCCTTGTGGGACACTGTGTCCTGGGTGAAAGCACATGCCCTGGCTTTATGGCAGACAGTGTCCTTATAATGCTTTGATCTGATTTGGCTGTGGCTTTTCAGAGTAAATCTGAATCATTCTATTCTCAGCTGTTAAGGTGACATTGTAGGACGCAGAAAGTTGTAGGAAGCCTATTAATACCCTGTATTTAGAATCAAAAATCTGAACTGTGCACAGACAAGGAGACAAGTGTTAGTTTATCACTTAAAAAGTCCTGTCCTAGAGTTTTGAAGCATTTCCTGTAAACCTGCCCGATGTGATATCCAGTAAACTTTAATGCTCAGGAGACATGCTAGTCAGCTTGACTAAAAGGGTAAAGCCTTAACAGCACTCCATCTATGGCCTGGAGAGATTGCTTTATTCTGTACACACATACCATCGTTCTCAAATAAACACAGCCGCTTTTGTCAGAGTGTGTGTGCACGCATGCTTGTATTCTAATGAAGGCAACTCTGTACAGTGTGTGGAGAATAACTTCTGGCTTTGTGTAGGTGCCAACTTCAGTTCGGTGCCTCAGTCCAGAATAGTGGATAGCGATTCCAAAAGAGTCACTGCTCTAAAGGGATCAACTTCAATGGTTTTATCATGAACAATTGTGGTGGGCAACACTGGATTTGCAAGATTAATGAATTTGCTGTTCCAATTTTTAAAGGGTCTGAAGCATCACGTAGAGTCATGCATGTTTGATTTTGTACACTTTAAACCTGCATAGTTGCCTTATGGAGATCTTATTGGAGAACATTTTAACTTTGCCTGTATAATAGTAATTCTATGTGCATTTGGGAGAATTTGAAAAAAAGGCAAAAAGTGCTTCATTTTGATTTTTGCTCTCTTTTCCACTACCTGTCTCATTTTGCAGGTGGCCGCATCTGTTCTTTCTCCCCCTGCATTGAACAAGTCCAAAGAACCTGCCTAGCAATGGAAGAATATGGTTTCACAGAGATTAACACCTTGGAAATTCTGCTCCGAGTGTACAATGTAAGGACAATTAGCTTGCAAATCCCTGACCTTGGAAAAGCAGCTGAGGATAATTCTAGCCCTGGCTTTGACAGCAGCAACCCATCAAACCAAGGTAGCCCGTGCGCTAATCTGCAGCAAGGAACTGTGCAGTTCAAAAGTGGCGTGCCACTCAGGGAGATGGTCGGTCACACTGGATACCTGACCTTTGCCACCAAGAGCCTGTTTTAGTACATGTTGAGTTTGGAGTGGTTTGTGTGTTTGTGTGTGTATTCTGTTTTCATGGTTCTTTTTTGTAGGGCATCCAAATTTTTACTTGTCAGGGAATTCCATATATAGTCAGATTTGGTTGGAATATGCTTTGTTTAAATAGCACACAAGCATTAACCAGAGCAGCATCAAGGGAATGTTGAAAGTCTGGAATGGCGTTCCACTTGCCGTCAGAAAGAAGATAAATTAATAGTGAATGGCCGTTCACTGGCATGTGCGGAATAAAGATCTCTCCCGATAAGAAAGCAAAACAAACAGCACGCTAATTGCAAATAAGTTGAATCTTTTCCTCCTCTTTTCTGGATTACTTTCCCAGGTTTATGGGTGTTTGTTTTTCCAGCACCACTAGACACTTTTTTTTTAACTTCTCTGGTGTCTGTGTTGCTCTTATGAATGTGAAAGTGCCTACTTGCTTCATTTTACTTACGAAAGTTCCGAGGTCATAGGGTTGCCAGCACGACTGGTCACAGAATTAGTGTTTCCTTGGAACAGTGTTTGGCTCCACAGAGGATTATTGGCAGTGCTCAGGAACACAACCTCTTGCTCCATTCCAGGCTGGTGTCTGCAAATCATTTAGATTACAACAGAGGTCAAAGAAGTGTGCTAATTGTTGGACTTGGTTTAAAATAGTGTATTGTGCTCATCAATTTATAGTAGAAATTTGGATCTGGATTCATACTGTTATTCTTCTAATAGATGATACACTTTCATAGTAGATGAATTCACTGTGAACATTCACTGAACAGCTGGTTAACATTATCTGATCACCTCTCTGTAAGCGGTGTAGCTGAGGTTCCGTTTGTTGGTGGTTTATGTGCGTTATGGTGTACTATCTTCCTGCAGTTGAATGACAGATTGCTTTTGGTGGGATTTCTGTCTCCAATTTGCAGCAACAATGCAAACTTAGTCAAATCCTCAACCAGCTTTATTAATTAAGTTTTCAGACCATTTACCCTTTGGTCTTCCATACAAAGCTGGTGGGTGTGATGAACTATTTGAATGCTGGATAAAATTTTGTATTTACAGATTAAAATAATTATGTAGATTTATAATGTCCCTTCTTTCTTTTTCAATTTTTTAATTTTTTTATGAATTCACTAATTTTTTTATTCTATCCTCTAGTACTGTCTCTGGAAGCATTTACCTGTGCCTTGCATTTGGTACCTGAATATACTGGTTGCCGTGGAAGAAAAATAACCATTCATAAACTGCTGCCTGAACATTTGAACCTGATATCCCTCCCCCGTTCTTGACAAAAATAAACAAAGCTAAGCTTTTAACTGTTATAGCAGAACGCTAATCCATAATGGTTTAAAGAAAGCTCAACCGATCATGACAGCAAAGATAAACTGTTGAGCAGATTAAAGGCAGAAAGCAATTCTGTTGAACTAAATCAGTTATGTAAGTTGGCCTACAACCGTAGTAGTTCTCCAGAAATTATGTGAAAGTTCTCTGTCTCCTGCTGTTAATGTCCTCCATGAAGGCGTGCAGTAAGCTGGTAGCACTGTTTGTATGGTTTGGTGGCTATATTATAGTGACATGCTTGCATGTGTATGCATATGTACATGTTTATGTGGTTAAACCACAACCATAGAGGTAAGGTACTAATATAAACCAGAAGAAAGGATGGGGAAATACGACATTAATGCTACAAGGTGGTTCTTAACTTCCTTCAAGGTAATTCTCATTCAATAACACGTGGGATCCCCAGTCTTCACCAGGGGTAATTCCAGGCCTAGACTTGATTGTTTTTTCCTGACAGACTTTATTTTAAAATAGTGTAATATTTAAATAGGATTAAAGAGGAACAAAGTCATATTTCTGTCCTACAAATAGACATGGAATGGAAATACCGATGTGTCTTCATGGAGCTTGAAACAAGGCTTATGCCTTTTTGCCTACAAAGCCCAATTCAAAACCCCTTGAAATAAACCATTGACTTTGCATGGTCCCATATTGATTTGATCCCTGCTGAGGAAGGGCAAGCATTGCGTAAGAGGAGAAGGATTTCATTTCTGTCTTTGCAATATTAAAAAGGCTTCTGTGTTTTTGTTGCCAATCACAGCCATGGCCAGCAGCACCACACCGCTTACTGCTGTTGTTTTGTTGTCAGGGTCACAAGGAGGATCTCACACTGTCCAGTGTGGACGGTGCTGTGCTGCCAGAACCCCCTACTGTTTAATTCTGCTTATGATCACCCATGTTTTACATTCTGGCTACATTCCCTGTCAAAAGTGGTAAATCAGAAATGGGTCTTTCCTTCCACACTTGAGGAAACTGCCCAGGCCACGCTTTTAAAGACTCCATTCTCTTTTTTTGATATGTTTTAATCTTCAGCCTGGAGTGAAACATCTCTTCTTCCTAGCCAGGCACAGGTCAGCCACACATTTGCAGGCTACGCATTTTCAGTGCTGCCGTGCACTTGGATCCCTCAGTTGTTGTGGACAAGCACCAGTCCACAGCTCTGCACAACAGCCAGGTTCACCTTGTCCCATTGTGCTCCATGCCCTACAAGCTGTCATAGAGCAGTCTTAGACATCTTGCAACCTACAAAGCAAACAGTCATGACTAAGAGGAGGCTTGTGAAACATTTGAGAGGTCTGCTGCTGTTTGCTGTTTACCTGTGCTTTAGTTAAAGCATTACAGATCTGTATCTCATTGTGGTCATTTCCTGCTTACCTGTTAGCACAACACTCTTTTCCTCTGAAGAAGATGTGATCATAAATCCTGCTTGAGAACCTTAAACGGATAAAGTAGCAAAAATGCTAGGAACTCACTCTTCTGCTTAATTTCCTGCTCTGTAGTCTCCTTAGGTGCTTTGGGATACGTGATGGTGAGGAGATGGTTCTTCCTGGGAAGAGTTCCAGAGATGAGGGTTCTGGTTCACGCTCGCTCCCTCGAGAGTACATCTGTGCTCCATTAGTCCTGGTGAACGGGATGATTGCGGAAGTCATGGTGACCTAGCAAGGAGGGGGGCCCAGAGATGCAGCAGGCCTAGATTGACTTGTAAATACTAGCGCTCATCCCAGCAGAGTCTGCATCCCTTAGGTGGGCAAGTGCACTGAGCAGCCCACGTGTTCATGCCTTACCAGGCTCCTTCTGGATGGAGAAAACTGCCCTCCTGGGCTGCAGTTCAGTAGCGTTTGGTGCTCCCAGCTCACCTCTGATGCTGTGGGAGCAGTGCAGGCTCAGAAAAGGAGGGTTGAGAAAGGGCTGGGCTCTCAGTGGCCGTTGCGGGGCTGTGTCTTGGCTTCTGCTTGCACAAATATGAGAGGCACAATAAGAGCAAAATGGGAGAGTCAGCGTTGCGTAACCATGATGTTACACCAAAGGTACGTGCAGCTGTGACTAGTCAAAGGGAGGAAGGGGGTTACTCTAGTACCAGAAAGTTCTGTCTGTCACCATGAGGGAAAGTGTTTACATGCTGCTGGCCTCCCGAGTGCTCCTGAGGAACTGTGTTGTTCAGATGCCAAAAGAGGGGAGCCAGATTGTGTTATTTCCTTTCTCCCTACGTGACGGCTTCTGAACTGGAATGAATCTGCATCACTATCAACACAGGGAACAAATAAACCTTGAATTAAATAGTCAGAGAAAAATAATACTCCTCACTGGTATCCAGCCCTTTACCTGCATATCTCGCCCAGGAGCTCTGTGTCCTTTTGTAGGCTGTCCAGGACATGCTGTTCTCCTCTGCTGGAGGGCAACAGCTTTGAACTTTGAGGTTAGCTGGCTGATAATGCTCATAGAAATAAATGCCCGAGCCAGCTGGGAACACTGGCCTGTGGAGCATCTCACCATACCTGCATGTTTCTACCTGGCTGCTAAGGTAGATCGCCCACAACTGGGCTTCCCTTACCCAGGGACGGGTCCCTTCCTGCCATCTCCCCCCTTCTGCGCTCAAACTGAAAGCTCCCAGACATAAAACTAGGAGGCACCAGCTCTTCCTGGCGCTCTGAGGGGACTCAGGTTGCACAGGCAAGTTTTTGGCTGAGGCAGGCGTTTCCTCTTTACTGGCCCGCAGGGAGAAGGACCATTTTTTGCCAGCCCATCAGAATACGCAGCCGCAGAGGCTCTGCAGGTGCGAGGCTGTTGCAGGTGCTGTGGTGAGAAGCTGTCAGAGTGCTCCTGATCCCGGGCACCCTGGGGGGAGCGGTGTTCTGCCGTGGCAACAGCACGGCATCATTCAAGCTGCTGAAGACCTCAGCCTGAAGTTATTTTGATGGGGGATGAGTGGGTTCATGCTAAATACCGTATTCGTTTATAGTTCTTAGGAGGGCGATTTGCTTGAATGGTTCCAGTGGAGCTATGGAGAACCTCTCCCCAGGGGTCCAGATAGCTGCAGGAAATGTCAGAGACCAGCACCAAGTGAATTCAGAGCTGCTGCTCCCAGAGGTGCTGGCTGAGCAGTCAAAGCTAGTAAGCAGAGGAAGGAGCTTTTTCCATCTTCTGATAGCGCTGATACTGATTCAGCACGAAGCCCACGTGCATGACTAGATCTAGGCAGCTAGGAGAAACTGTTGCTCTAGCAACTTCCCTTTGTATTAAGAAGGGGAAGTCTGCAGTGGGATTTTCTTCTCTCTCTTTTCTGTTGCTTTGGAGGGGCTGTAGTCCCCCTCGTACCTTGAGTCAAAAGTACGTTAACAGTAGTTACCCCTAACACAGGTGTCTGGGGCGTGGCATGGCTGGTCCCTGGGCACATGGAATGAAAGTTTGTGATGCCAAAATATTCTGAGACAGAAATTATTTTATTCCATTTGGGGGGTGAGAAAGATTATGAGACTGTGGGCTCTGTGGTACTTTTAACACTGATCCCCCATGCTCTTAGAAATTGTCCATAAAGTACTATTTCAGAGAAATTACAAAAATAAAAGCCACCTATTTCTAGGAAACAGCTGGATTTAAGAACCATATGTGCTTGGAAGAAGAAGTAAAAGCAGTAGGAAGGTAAAGAATGCTTTCAGGCAGAAAGTGCCTCCTTTCCTGGCCTTTCGCAGTGACGAGGCAATTCCCCAGAAGGTTGCAGCTGCTCCCTTGAAAGCTGTGGATCAGAAATGCTCATTAGTGAGGACGTCAGTTCAATCAGGCTGGTTCTAACAAGGCACGTAGGCTGGAATCTGCAACTGATGGAGTGGAAAGGAGGCAGGGAGAGGAAAAGGGGTTTTTAAAGCGTCTGCAGTCAATTCAACCTGTTGGATTACATGTACGTTATGTCACACTGTTTTTACAAGAGTGGTTTAAATAATCTTAGTAAAATCTGCAATATACTTGTGTAATATATATAATACATGAGAGGGTCACCCACTCCAAT